TAAGTTTAATGAATAAATCTCAAGGCATTATATAGATAGATAGATAGATAGATAGATAGATAGATAGATAGATAGATAGATAGATAGATAGATAGATAGATAGATAGATAGATAGATATTTTTTTATAGGTGATACAAATAGTAGACAAAAAGAAATTTGCAGTCCAGAAAGGATAGGTTTTGTCCTATATGGGGAAGGTGGTTCTTCAAGGAAGGTAAGTAACAAAGCTCACTGCTAAAGAAGCTGATTGATTGTATATTTGTCAATCCTAACATATAAGAGAAAGTTTAACAGCATGAAAAGGTTTCTTTGAACGATTTGCACAAAGCACCATATTCTTAGGAGGATTGGGGAGCAACTTTAGGAAGACAGGAAGGAGTGGGCTGCAGCTGGAGTCTAGCTTAAAGAGCCACCACACAGAGACGTATCCGTTACCTATAAGCTGTCTCATACCTTGGATTAAGCTGTTCTTTAACCAAAGGTTATGTTATAAGCATCATAAAGAGAAAAAAAAGATTATTTGTGTTTTTAAATGAGCAGATATAAATTAATTTATCAATTTAAGGTCTAAGAATTTGAACGAAGAGTGAAAAGACACTAATCCACATATTTGACTGATATTCAGAGCTCCTTATAATGATTTGACAAAGTCACAGTGCATGTTGTATCCACCTCCAACTTTTTGCTGAGGGTATGGCTGTCTATTGATGACGCACAGCTTTGTTTTTGAGGTCAGGAGGTCATTGTCACATGTAATAGAAAATCGAGATGGATAAACGTCTAGTTTTCCATCATCTCCATATCCAACATATCTAAAAAAAAATAAATTGTATTTTCTCTTCTGGTCCCGACTGATATAACAGTTGATTTTATTTGAAGCTTTAAAATGCAAGGTGCACTGTTTCAGCCACATCCTTTAAATCTTAGATGCACGGTATCTATTTATGGTGCAGAAATCTTTCATGTGTGAGGGTAACACAGCAACACTATCCTCAGATCTGTTTTTTTTTTCCAAAGCTTTATTTTAATGGCTCATGCTGAAAGGGCACATGGGAACCGGTTTGGTCAGTGTGAACAACAAAGATGAACGAAGGCAGAATAATGAGCTGATCCACCCTGTCACCTAACAGTGCACACTCTTTCTAACAAAAGTCAACACTTAATAAATACATATTTTGCAGTATTTTAGCCTGATTCCTGATAGCTCAATGGGTAGAGACATTATCAAACCCTAACGCTACACGATGACAACCCCTAAGGTCAAGGTTGAAACCTTCACTGATGTCATTCGGTCACATTTCCAAAAGGCATGTTTGACCCATAAACAGTGCGTCAATAGAAGAAGCAGGATGCCCACAGTGATGCGTGATGCAACTGAGGACTTTGCAAAGGCTTCTGAATATTTATATAGCGTACCTTCGTCATAGCTGTAAAGTCTGTCTAATCAAACATAATCTACTCTTGGCAGAGGCCATCACACATAAGGTGCACTTAAGTCATGTTGGTGTCCTTTGGTTTTGATTGATTATACCAAATTCTACTAAGTTATTATTCCTAAAATACCAAAAAAGCCAATTATTTCATCTCCAGTTAATGAAGTTAAACAGCTAAATTATCAGTATAAGTACTGCACTGCAAAAATAATCTAGTAATAAGTGAAAATGTCTTAAATTAAGTAAATTTACTCTTAATTTAGAGCAGGAAAATAAGATTGTTTGGCAATGGAATGCATATTTTTACTCTTAGAATAAGTTAATTAGATAATATGCACTTGAAATAAGACAGGGCAGTTCTTTTTTCTTATTTCAAGTGTACATTGTCTCGTTTCATTGGCAAAATGTCTCACTTACCCCCTCAATTCAAGAAAAAAATGACTTAATTAGATTTAAATTTTTTGCAGTGTGGAGCTTTAATAGAATATCTTAAGCTAAAATAAATTCAAGGAATTATAATGATGTACTAAATGAACCTCTAGAGTCCATATTTAATATATAAATAAAATAAATATGGACTCTTTCAGGATTTTGGAAGAAGATTGAGTTCCTACCTAGAAATGTCAAATTTTTCCAATTTTTCTTTGCAAATTATCCACTGTAGCTCTGGGTGGACATCTGCTGCCTGAAGGTGAACCAGCCTTTATCTATTATACAAAGTGTGCGTCTTTTATGTTTGGCAATAACATAAAATCCCAGCATAATGCATTTAAATGTGTCACTGCAACGGGAAAGTTAAAAGGTATGAAAACTTTCACAAAAACTGGATTTAATTCCTTCCAGCTATCCATCTACTGCATAAAGGCTGCCAGTATAACAAACAAACATGCATGTAGATACTCATGCCTAAGGGGAGAAGAAATGGGGAGGAGGCAGTAGTATCTGGAGAGATTAAGCACATGCAGAGAGAGATCGTGCTACAGCCTCTTTAAGTTGCTTTACTAGCACAAGTCATCCTAAAAATATCAAACTTCGAAGGTGAAAAAAATATTTAGTTTTTATAACAAGGAAGAAAAATATGGTTAGAAGTTTGCATCATATAGCTAGCTTCAAAATTAAGTTCTTCTTAGTCTGCACTACTAGAGCTCAGAGCATTTTGGTTCACTTGGATCAGCATTTTGGTGCTACTGTTTTTAGTTTTTTACCATCTGTGGCATAATCCATGCAGCTATATGCCCAAAAAACTGAATTTGGTCTTGCTTGTTTATGAGAAAGCAATTGGAGATAGGGTTTTGTATACTTTTTAAAAGGGAGGATACATTTTCAAGGACTTCTTGCCAAAAATATAACTTCTTTGGTGTTTTTTTTAGCTGTTTTATGATCCTAACATACTTCCTATGAGAATTAACCAGACCGCGGGAAATTTGCCATGATTCCCTCCCTACTGCCCTCACGCATGAACCCACCCATCCAGTCTGAGTGTTTTTCTTTTTCTAATCTAAAAAAATAAAAATTCTGTCATTAGACTACTGCTGTAAGTTTGAAAATAAACATTCAGTTTCTCTCTTTTAGAAAATTTGTTTTTTTTCTTCTTAAGTATCTGTTTGAATTTTGTTATAGCTCCTCTATTTCCTTACTCCTCATATCATATCATGATAAACATAGTTTTAAAACCATTAACTATGTGCCTTTCAATGAGTTTTCTCCAAATGTATGGAGGGTAAAGTAATGCAGCGCTTCTCCTCCCTTGCATGTAGCATGGCTCTTTGGGCCAGCAGGCTGGAAGAAGTTGAATGCACGTTATACATTGCTAACAAAAAAAAGAGTTTGGCAGGCAACACTGCTTTAGTCTTTATTTAAAAATCTAAATGATAAATGCATTTCGTAGAAAAAAATAATAATTAAAATATTTCATTATTGTAGTTAAAAAAGTAATATTTGTTTATTTCCTTTTCTAAGTAAAATCAGTCAGACCATGTAATGTATATCGTTTTAAATATAACTTAAAATACTGTAATAAACCTATTGGATTTTTTTATGTTATAGTAAAATCATATGATGGTCTAGTAAAGTTAATTTGCTTAAGATTACCTTACCCTTTACCTGTTTGAATTTAATTTAATGAATGAACAAAAATAGAGGACATGATTTAACCAATCAAAACCCATCAAATATCTCTAAAAATCAATTTGTGCACTCTGTTATTTTATAAGAAATATAGTTGCATCCAATTAAACTTCTCCCTTACCTGTGAAGCTCTAACTTTTTCTATAGTCTAAAGTAGATTAATGCCCTGTTATTGCATTTTCCACTATCCCTTACTTGTTATTTAACTTGTCAAAAAATAGAAAAAATGAAAAAATAAACCCACAGCTCACAGCCATCAGTATTGTTTGGGTTTCAACGAAATTTTACAATTTAACAGTTTTATTCTTGTTTCTGGAGATTAATAATAATTAAAAAAAAACTCTAAAGGGTAATTTGGGGAAACGGCCTATATTACTTTCAGTAGACTTTTAATTAGACATTGGCGCCATCTGTTGGTAGAAGTTTAGCATTACATGGTTAATAAGGCTTAAATTGAATAAATAAGTTTGTTTTGGTGTTGTTGTTTTTTTCAGAAAGTGTCTTAAAAGATGTTCTTATTTTAACTGAAATTTATTGCCGAGCATTACTTCGTAGCTGTTTATGCTTTGATGTGTCAATTCGTGTTTAGTGTGAATGCAAATTAAAATAAGTTATTTTGAGCTGTTATCAAATTTAAAAAAGGTGTTATTTACCATTTGTAACAAAAAAGTTTTTTTTTTTATCTAAATGTTTTTTTCTCTCTGTCATAATTCAATAGGCCTAATATTCCGAGTAATAGATGTAGATAATATTCATAAGTTCACTGTAAAACCAATAAAAAGGCAGATATATTAGCAAAAAGAGCTTTATATGGAACAATTACAATTCATTTTGGGAACGGGTAAGGTAAATCACTTAAGAATAAAATATGGAAAAATGGTAAAAGAGGTGGAACGAAGATAAGAAAGGAAGAGGATAATATAAGGTACAAAAATCAGTATTTAATAGAATCTTTAATGAGATAAACAGAAAGAAAGAAGTAATAATGATCAGAATAAGAGTGGGTCATACCTATGTAAATGAAAATTTATATATATAATAGGAAGGGAAAATAATGATAAATGTGAAGGATATGGAGAAAAGGAAAATGTAGAACATGTACTGATGAACTGTAAAACTTGTGAACATGAAAGGGAGAAATTAAGAAGAATGGCTCAAGGACAGGCAAAGAATTGAGTCTTACATGAATATTGGTAAATTAAGGAAATATAAAGGATAATCACAGATTAAGGAAAGCATTATTTATTTATCTACAGAATACAAAATAAAAAAATACAATTTGATGTAAAGTATTGTTGCTACACACTCATGTACAGTAGGTGGCGGTATGCAATTTAAAGTCGCTTTCGATCCGCCATTATAGAAAAGAAGAAGAATCCCATTGCGCATGCGCACATCTATCAAAACACCGATGCAGCCATAGATATCCTATGGATGCAGCAACGATGGATTTCATGACGATTTTCTAAAAAAATAAATAAATAATAGTAATTATTATTATTATTATAAAAGTGGCTTCCAGTAAAAATGTAACTCGGACTTTGGTGACGTTTTGTGCTCCAAGTTTGAAATAGTGAACATGTTTTATTTCCCGACAAGTAAGTATGACCTAGCGAAACAATAGCTAATATGCTAACATGTAGCTAATGACAGGTTGATCTGTGTGCTGATAGCTAAATATAATATTGTTGTTTAGTTTAACTGTTGTATATTGTGGTATATAAGTTCTGCAAAGATGGATCAGAAGTAGTGTGTTTGTCCTGATTTCTATTCGTCCTGTTTAGCCTTGTGAGCGTAAAGAGGATGGATAACGTAACCATGTCAGCTGCAGAGGGGACCGCTGGGTGTCCCCTGGTCTCTGAGGACATGGAGGGGATCTGCGTGATGCCTGATCTTAGGGCCATAAAGACTGAGCAGTCGGTCGGTCCGACCCCCGATGAGCCAAGCCCTCAAAATGTGGCCATGGGCATCAAGTTTATTCTCCCCAACCGCTTTGACATGAATGTCTGCTCCAGATTTGTAAAGTCTCTCAACGAGGAGGACAGCAAGAATATCCAGGATCAGGTGAATTCTGATCTAGAGGTGGCTTCTGTTTTATTTAAAGGTAAAATCTAGGTATTATTTCTTCAATGCAAATAAATAATCAATCCTTTATTTTGTAAACAAACCTAATATTGTTTCTTTCCTCCAGCTGAATGCAACATCCAGACATCCCCATCACCAGGGATACAAGTACGTCATGTTTACACGCCATCCACCACCAAACATTTCTCACCAATTAAACAGTCCACCACACTGACCAACAAACACCGCGGCAACGAGGTGTCCTCAACACCGCTTCTGGTCCATTGTAAGGGTTACAGCTTTTTTTTCTCCTTTTAAAAAAAAAAACTCATATCTTTTAAATTGAAGAGTAGAAGCTTTAATTTGCCCCTTTTACCTTTTCTTCTTTTTCCAGCTTTATCCATTCATCAACTGGCAGCCCAAGGAGAAATGGTGTTTCTGGCCAGTAGAATTGAACAAGGTGGGCTGTTCATTTTCCAGAATCTATATTTTTGTGTTTCAGTGATATATTTATATGTAACCTAGTTAAAATAACTCCCTAGGTGTTTCAGTGTTTGCTGTTAATTTGAAAGGGCTGGTTCCTCCCCCTAGGTCAAAGGTCGATTTTTATCGTAATGTTTTTGATACAAGCAATATTAGAATGGGACACTGCTCTGCTGAAAAAGATCTTAATTTATAGGTCTTTGTGCATTCTGAGAATAATCTTATGTTCAAGAGACTTAAGGCCAATTTATGCTTCTGAAGCATAGTCTCTGCAACCGTCAAATTTGTCTTTGTGTGCGACCACAGCCCCCGTGCAGAGGTTCTGCAATCATCATCGCGTGCCTCAAAAAAAATCTACGCTTTTCACTACCTGATCCGTCCCGGAAGCACGATCCGCTCTGCGCATGCGCGAATAGATATATGTCCCAGTGTCCATAAATACTTTAATTATGGTACTAAAACTACGTATTTCTATCCTTAACTCACTAAAGAGCACTAAAACACATCTGTAAAAAAAAAAATTATGACTTTTGTGAGACAATGTTTATGCTTTTTACATTTTCTTCGTTAAACTGCTTCTCTGACGTCATCACCAGACATGCTCAGAGCAGTCTGACAAAATATGATTAAACCATGTTTATCTGCATTTTAATTGTTTCTTTCTGTAGATTACACACTATATAGCATAAGATTAAAATGAAACGAAAACATAAAACTCAAAAAGACTGGATTTATGTTTAAATTCAAAGCCGAAAAAGTTAGCCACCGGAAGTAGCATAGGATTTTCATTTCCGGTGCAGATCGGGCAGAGACGAGCGATAAAACAGAAAGGATTTTAAGGGTCTTTTTTCTCAGGAAATACATTATTAACCTTTAACACATTATATTTTAGTATTTTTACTACTTTTGGGAAGGGAAAAACGTCATTTAGGTATTTTTAACAAACTAAAATTGAGAACGACCCGGATGTATGCCTGGATGCGCATGCGCTAATGAGCGCAGAACGGATCATGCTTCCGGGACAGATCGGGTAGTGACGGTCCTTTTTGGTTTATAAAACCGAGGAACGACTACAATGGACAACTACGACGAAAGGTTAATCAGTCTTTTTGCCAACTCCATTAACAGAACCTGTTCCTCTTCGATGTCTAGCAACGTTAGATCCATCTCCGTGACCGTGATACCTTGCAGACGCGCCATTGTTGTTTTGGAAGATAAACACTCCCGCCGGCACCGAAGTTCTCGCAAGTTCTCGAATAGGCTCCCCTTTGCGCTTTGGCGGGAAACTTTTGTGCGTTCCTAGAAATTCCAGACCGACGGTGCAGAAACATACCAGCAAAACTGGTTCACAACCAGATGCAAGCGACAGTTGATGTGTGCGGCTGCAGATGTATAATCTGCCCTTTAGATTATTAAAAAATGACTTTCAGCCAACCAGAAAACCAACAGATGTTTTCTATATACTTATAATATGAACTCTGAAATCTTCCTAAATCACACTTGACAGCATTTCAAAGGATCATGCATTTGTGAAATCTCCTCAGTTGCAACCCCGACTAAATAGGGACCCTAAGTGAAATATTGTTTGGAGGCTTCAACTTCACCCTGATTAAATAAATATGAAATACAACAAATTTGCAACTGCAATAGATAAAAAACAAACAAAAAACAAACAAGAAAGCCATGCAAGAGGATTAAGTAAGTTTTAGGTCTTAATTGTAAATTACATCATTAACTGCATGTGAATACTAGCCTCATAAAGATTGAAAAGCAATAAATGCAAATAGTTCAACAACGTGAGTAGGACAGAATTTATTTTATGGATCTTTTAAAAAAAAAAAAGATATCAAATATGCATTAGCCAAAAAAAAAAAGAAAAGCTTTTTTGGCAAGGTTTGTATAACTTAGCTGAATTCACAATTTATTGTTTACACATAAATTATTTGTCTACCTCATAGTATTTTTTCTCACTGATAAATGCCACATCCCTATTTGTCCGTTTTCCCTTTGTGCAATCATTTCAATTTCTCTGTACCCAAACCTCCCTGTTCTTGTACCTCTGCAAACTCCAACAGATTTTAACCTCAAGTGTATTTAATTTCACAGAGACTGTAATCAATCTCCAAGACGAGGAAGGGTTCACGCCTCTAATGTGGGCAGCGGCACACGGACAAATCGCTGTCGTTGAGTTTCTGCTACAAAATGTACGATTGAAATGAAACGGATCAAATTGTTTCACTGTCTCACAAATAAAAAAAAACACCTTTTTACTCTGCATCTTTCTGAGCTGCAGGGGGCCGACCCGAACCTGCTGGCCAAAGGGAGGGAAAGTGCGCTGTCGCTGGCCTGCAGTAAGGGATACACAGACATAGTGAAGATGCTTATCGACTGTGGGGTGGATGTCAACGAGTACGACTGGGTACAAGCCTGAGCTTTTGTCTTGGTTACTGCATCACATTGTGGTTGATTATGACATTAATACAGATTTGAATGTTAATGTCTTCTCTAGAATGGAGGGGCCCCTCTGCTGTATGCTGTCCATGGAAACCATGTGCGCTGTGTGGAGATCTTGTTAGGTGAGAGGGGTCACATCTGTCATTGTGTTAATATCTTTTGTAAGGATAAATCTCCCCCAGCTTGGTTTGCTTGATCTAACATGTAAAGGAGTTAAATTTATTTATTTTTCTTCCAGACAGTGGTGCTGATCCTACGGTAGAGTCGGATTCAGGATTCAATGCAATGGATATGGCTGTGGCTATGGGCCATCGAAACGGTGAGTCTGGGGAACTAAAATCAACTCTGATACAGTTCTGGTCAAAAGGTTATACTTCTTTATCCAGGGCATGGATAAATGTTCAACATGCAGTTTCAGTGATTTTTATTTTCTGTAATCCACAAAGGGGAACATTTTCACATACAGATTAAAGATAAAAGCATCGATTTATACTGTGGTGTGTTAAGAAATACAAAATAGAATAAATAAATAGGGCTGAATGATTTTGACCAAAAATCAAAATGCTATTTTTTTTAAACCAATATTGCAATTACAATTTTCCTATTTTCCTTTGCACTAAGCACAAGCTTGTAGATATTTCACCCCAGTTTTTCAGTTTAAAAGCTTATTTTCCAGACTCCATTGCTGCAGGACTTTACCGTAATCTTAGTGTGAAAAGGTGCTTACTTCTACTTGCATGTATAAATCTGCGTGCTCGCTGCATCTCTCTACCTTTCTGTGTGGCTGCAGACCCACCTTAAGCGTATTGCTACCACCTAAATGCATGGAGTGTGAAATGTAGTGTCTTGTCACAGTTAATGCGACTAAAATTGAGCACCTTCGCAATTTTAAAATTGCATTTTCTTATATTGGGATTATATTGCAAATGCAATTCATTGCTTATCCCTATGAATAACCTTTTTTTTTTTTTTACTTATGTGACAGTTAATTGTTGAATATTTTCATATTTTAGGATTAAGTCATTAACTAATTAACAGATAATATTTTCACCAAGTTTTCCCTTAACTTGTCACATTTTTAAACCCTAAATTGTCTCTTTCTATTCATTTTCTTTCAAATATTTTCTTCTTTTTCCAAGACATTTAACAAGTTTTCACCTAACATCACCTCATCTCCCTGATATCTTCTCTTAATATTCATATATTATTAATGTTATCACATTTTATGCATTACCACTTATGAACTTGTAGCTAATGGCATTGCTGCTTTACCATTACTGCTCCTTTAAGTGTAAATGTTAATACTGTATTAATGCTATCGTAAAAACTGCATGTTTTTTTTTTGTTTTTTGAAGGTGAAAGCTGAATGTGAAAAATCTTTCACTGTTGTTCTGTTATTAAAAACATGGGGAACGTGAGCTTAAATAGCAGCTTGCATTCCAGAGAACATATTCTGGAGACGCTATACCCCTAAAACATTAGACTTAATGTGTTAATTTAAAACTTAAATTGATCTGCCAAACAACAGCTTTTCATGATGAAACAGATAAGCAACGTGTTAGTATTATAACTCTGATTAAAAGTAGCTCTGTTAGTCGTATTTTAACCCTTTTTTTAATTGAATTGATGTTGCAAGGAGCCTTCCTGCAAAAAGGTATGCTTATATCTGCAGAAACATGCATTTCTCATTAACATATGTGTTTTCTTGGTCTGTTTCCCCTCCGTCTTTTGAACATTAATACAGGAAAAAAACAAATTCACACAGGTATGTAGTTGTCAGTAGGATGATTAGGTCTACCAGGAAGACTGCAGTCACTTGGTGGAGATGCAACCCCACTTTGAAAGGCACTGCTTTAAACTGTTTGGATTAAAGATTAGGGAGAGACATTTTGGTCTGATTCTGGGAAAGGTTTGCAAGAACTTTGGCCCATTCATCCTCACAGAACAGGTGTAACAGAGTTTAAATGTTCCACTGGAATGAGATAAGGACTTTTCCTGTGGACACTGACTGTCTTTTAGATAGATTGTAATTGATTTGATGGCGTGACTCAGGTCCTCGTCCGCTTTGGACAAATTATTTGTTCCCAGACTTTGAATACCTCACTGATATCACCCCTGTACTTCTAAGCTGAGATTGTATTTTCAGGCTTGGAACCCCCTAAGTAGAGCTAAGATTAGCTCTACTTAGTTTTACTCGAATAAAAGTAGATGTTGCCATTCAAGGAAATACTTAAGAATAATAAATAATTTGGTGAAAAGCTGCTGAAACTGGCATACTACGTGTAGATAAAATGTTTAAACATGCTCAAAATTAAATATCAGGTAGATGAACATAAGATTAAATGCAATAGGAAATTTTAAAGACTTGGAAAAAGAAAAGGTTAAAAAAACATGATTACACAATTAATTCAGACAGAATACATATCCCCCTTAAATAATCTTAATAGTTGGATTAAGAACAATATGTGTTGTTTTGCTTATATAATTATTAATTAAGGGGGGGGAGTTTAGAATTGAAAAGGTGGTTTATTTTGTCAATATATGGTTTCTGCTTAAAATGTGATTAATTAGAAACTTATAATCCCTACTAACTAGCTACTAACTAGTAAAACTATCCACTTTGTCCATGGCATCCATACCACAGGCAGCTAAGGGAACCTTAAGCATGATACAGCCACCACTGTGCCTTACATCTGGCACAGTGTTGTTAGATGAATATATTTTTCTGGTAGACAAATTTCATAATCTTTTGTCTGTTTGAGTGTAAAACTTGTCTTAAGAACTAATTAAGGTGTGGATTTTAGAGCATGGGCTTATTTCTCGCTGGGTGCCATCTATTTCCTCATTGGTTATAACAAATCTTCTCTATAGATTGTTTCCAGTTAATGGTTTGGGACACTAACCACATTTTCTTCATCTTAGGCGGGTCATAAACTTTATATGATTTTGACAATAGATCAAGTTGTGTTTTTAATATCCACAATTTAAAGGAATTAATAAAAAAAAAATGTGTGTATTTCAGTTCAACAGGTGATGGAAGCCCACCTACTGAAGCTACTGATGGGAATCAGAGAGTGAACTCCTGGAGGATGATCCTTATGGGACATTGTTTGGTGCTGGACAATCATGTAGCATGTCCCAGAATATTTAAGTCTCAAAAGATAATCAAGCAGTGTTGTAAAATGTTATTTATTTCATTTTGTGCACCTGTTGCACGTGAAGGTTGTGCTGCACTTGTTTTCAGTTCTAACTCATTTATTCTCTGCTCTTTAATGTTCTTCTGCTGTTCTGCTTGGAATCTGGAGTGTGGAACAAGCCTACAGGACACCTGCTGCATAAAGTGCACTGCAGGGCGAGTTTAATTTGGCTAAAATTCAGCAAATGAGTGGTTTATAAATTATAACCCTGTTTTCACTGGTTTTTATAGCTTTATTAACCATGATGAAACCATTTCTAAAGCAAAAATAAAAGGTGTCTTTGTAATATCTGTTCCTTACAGCAAGCACATTTCAGAGGCACATCGAACTGTGAGATCAAGAAGCTGCCAGCCTATCTGGGGATTTATTTATTTGAATTTATTACGACCATCGTAGGGTCTGTTGTGTTTATGTACAGTGATGCTTAGATGTTTAGTGAAATTTTAACGACCGTACACTGCAAAAAAACAGCCCAACGTGGTATCGTGGTGCTTTTGACGGTTTCATATCAACGGCTTTGTGCATTAAAACGGTCGTTTTTATCCTGTCTGGTCCTTTTTTCTACTTCTTAAATTCTTTTATTTTTCAAAAGCTGTTTTCAAACAGAAAAACAGTTAGTTGCCTCTAACCTCTGGCCAAACACAGACTTGATAAAGTTGTTCTGGTGTTAATTTATTTAGAAAAAAAAAAGTTTTGTCTTTGCAACCATGTGGCGTGGTTTTGTAAAACTCAAATAAAGTATTTAAAATCCCATTGTTTTTTTGTTTTGTTTTTATTGTCATGCCCCACTCATGGGAACTGACAAAAATGGGAGACAGACGAGCGGATTGAAATGAACAATTTATTTTCTCTTAATTATTCCATTGAGGAGCTGCTCAGCCAGTCAAAGAGGAGTGTGGATGAATGCTGCCTGTTCCGGTCTGGTCTGGAGGCCAAATCAAGCAGAGAGAGTGACTGACTGGATGTCAGTATTTAACAGCCATCAGGTGCTTTTAATTAGCGGCCCCTCTACCTGCATCCTGAAAAGAACAAAACCCAAACTGTGAAATGACGACACCTACTGGACAGTAGGGGATCGTCACAGTATTTAGATAAGCTGGCAAACATACTGAGGCCCCATTAGCATTTTTTGAAGGGCTTAAATCAAAAATTAAAAATGTCAGTTATCACTGAGTCACTATGAGCAAATAAAGACACCAATCTGTTGTAATACACTAAGGAAAACACCCTGCTATTTTACGCAGGGTTTCCACGGGTCATTAAATATCATTGTCATTAAATTATAAATATTTTTTTTAAATTAAGGACTTAATTTAAAATAATTAAATGTGATTATTGTGGCATTTAAAATGCTTTATTAAAAAAAAAAAAAAAGTTTATAAAAAAAATTCGTCAGATATATTGTGATATATTTGCGAGGAACTGCTTCGGGTGGATTGTAAAGTCATATGTTTGAAGAAAAGCTCGAGTAGCAGAAAAGCTAGAAAATGAGGAAAATGCACATTTCAACAGAAATTGGCTAGAAAATGAGAAGACATGGCTGCAGACTGTTGACAGTAAAGATGGCGAAGCTGTTTATATATATATATATAAATATATATAAAAGAGTCATGGGTAATTGTTGATACTAAAACTATTTACCCGTAAGTGCATTAAATTACTCATTCCTGTATAAACCCTGTAGCAAGTTCTCCCACTCAGAAATCATGGAGGGTGAAATTGTCATCGTAGGTGCATTTCCACTGTGAGAGACATAATCTAAAAAAAAAAATCCAGAAATGACAATGTATGATTTAACTATTTATATGATAAAGCTGAAAATAATTATTTGAACACCTGAGACAATCAATGCTGATAACCATAGTCTAAATTACCTAATTGGTGTGAGAGCTTGATTTTAACAGCGAATTCAGAAGTCCAACCTTGAATAATAGACTGAATAACCTTTGTGAGCACATTTCAGCTATAATCATTTAAATAAATTGGTTTTACCGTTGATTTAAATGATCCATTTAACTAAAGTTCCAGTTACCTCATAATCTCCTGGTTAAATGACCTAACTGCATCCTAGGAAAGGAGCTAGTGTTTTATTTCATAATCCAACTTTTTAGTTTCTAATTCTTTAGCATTTCTACCAGGAGCCACAGGTAGCAATATCCTGTTTGAATCCTGAGAGGCCTTTCATTGAAGGCCTTTATGTCCTCAGCAATTTTGTTTAGCATATAACATTGTGCCATTGTTATCATGCAAAAAGAAGAAAATTCAGTATCTGCTTAAAAAGATCCACCCAAAAGATCTGCAGCACATAAGGGATCAGATAAACCGATAAAAAAAAAAAAAATTAAAATCAAATTGGCCCTTAAACAGTTGATCTCTGCCCAAAATGTCAAATATATTGAAGGTACTAAAAAGCATACAAGTCTTACCAGTGTTGTTTAAATGAGAGCTTCCCGTTTAATAAAAAGAGGAATGTTTCTATTCTTAAATGCACATCTATGAGAGTCAGACGGGTGCTTAAGTACCAAACCTTCCATGACAACGTAAAAGTAAAAGCCACACACCATGTTTTGTTTAGTGACAGTAGCAAAGGTTTATTCCAGATATGGTGATTTTAGGGAGGCCACAGTTCAGTAACGCAGAAAACAGATGTACAACCGGGGCATCGGATACGTCTTCAAGCACATTCTCCATATTCCAACTGGACATTAAGACCACATGAGCTCAACAAAGCATATAGAGTGCCTGCTGGCAGAAAGGTGGAATAAGTAATAAAGTACGTCCAAATACTGAGACCCCAGTTTTAATACACAGTACTACTCTACAAAAGGACTTAATGACTGAAATGTAGGCTGATATAATTCATGGAGGTGTTGCACATTTTACAGAATGCTTCCACTGCCGACTCTCCACTTCTTTACACAAAACTAATATCTTGTGCCCTGCATGGTCCTGCTGAGTTCTGCCGTCTCTCGTTTCCTCTAATTGGCCTCATCCTTGGATGCTTCGTCGAAATTCTCCACAAGATCTGAAACACAAACATGGAGGTCAGGAGTGATTGAGAAGAAACCGTTCAGGAGGAGAGTTTATGTGAAACATGACTCCTGACTAAAGTCCCAAATTGACCGTTTCACACATTTATTCAGACAAACACCAGCTTTGATGTTTGCTGTTGAGAATTTAGGGGGAAAAAAATCAAAACAAAGTAGAGCACAAATCTGAAAGAAAAAAAAATGGTTTTAATGTATTTTAACGATCAAATTCTAAGTGTTCACCCTCGTAATCACTTTGATGGCTCTAAATAAAATTTTATGCCCAGACCCTTAAAACGTGGAATTGTTCATGAAAGGGCAGCAAAAAGAAGCGTGTTTGCTGTGCCTCCTACATGGTTTAAACCAAACTGCAAACATCTGGAAGGAGGAGGAGCTCAGTTTCAGATTAGTGGAGAATCAACACATTGATGACGGGACGGGATAAATGATCTGCCATCGATGCAAAATAAAAACACAGATCCATATCATCATTTTTAAGATAAGCCTTTGTTTTTCATACAAGGCTAAAGTAAACAGGTGATCCGTTATTTCTTTAAATCAGGAAAATGTAAAATCCTTAAAAGGGTTTTTTCACTGAGGTTTTTCATCTAATGGGAAAGAAGTCTTACAGCCACCAAAAAAAGGATGCTAATCTTTGAAAGCAATGCTCATAGACACTCAGCAGAAAGAACTTTAAGTGAGAATTGTTTGTCGATTTTTAATCAAAAAGTATATATTGTACATCCTTCCATACAATGATCAGCGCTCCTAATGTGGTGATGAACTCTTAAGTCTGAGTTTGCAAGGCCTCTTTACCATCACCCCAATTTTGAGCTTCCTTCACATATTCAGGTTTAAGTCAGGTGTCGCACTGGCTTTCCAGAATGTTACCTTTCTTACAGTCAGAAGGAATATGCCATTAAACAATTACTTTTAATCCCATATCCACCAGGGTTTTGCACTACTTTAGGATTTGATTTTATAAAGGTTACAAAATCTGGATTTGCAATGTACTGACTAAGGGGGAACAATGTGTGGAAAAAAACTGGGGGGGGGAAACAAGCTTGTTTTGTGAAATATTTTCTTCCAGTCCGAGTTAAAACAGTTTTATTCTCAAAATTCCAAACTTTTCCAGATTTATCTTTTATTTTTTTCTAAACCAGAGTTTTCACGGCATTCTGGACATTAAGTGCTGACTTCAAATCTGGTATTACTGACAAATCATAGCAAACAAATGAGATAATATTTTGGTTTCTAAGAATAAAAAACTGAACAACACTAGTCTGCTTAATGAGCTGCCAAGATGGCGGCAAGGTGCCGGCAGGAAGTGATTTCTTTATGCCTTAGCCTCTGCAGAATTCACCCAGGAATGACAGGATTTTTTTTGGGAGGAATAGAAACAATCAGGACTTCTCTAAATGATTAGGGTGTTTATCATTTTTAAAACGAACCCAAATAAAACAAGCGCAGTTTCAGTTTCTCAACCTTAAAGTCCAAAAAGTAGAAAATGTCCTTTTATTTTGTATCTTATTAGAGCATAAATTAAGATGTTAAAGTACTTTTTGTTGGTGTATCAGCTAAAATCCTAATAAAGTATGAGCCTATAATCTTTATTTTGGTTTTTAGTTATTTAATTCTGTAAACACAAAAATGCCATTTCTTACTGTATTATTGTTCACTGCTGTTTTTTGCAGTAAATACATACATCATACGTGTGTTTTGTACGTTTGCTAAAACTATATTAAAAGAAACAAAAAGCAAAGACTTTATGTTACAAATAGTGACAAAAAGCATTAACAGTTGGCTTCTCTCTCCACTGGGAATGTGAGAAACTTTCCTGTCTCAGTCACGTTCTCAGAGGGTCAAAGGTTAAAATGGAAACAATTTAAAAGGCTCTCAGCAAACATGTTCCCTTCAACTGGAGAACAAAGGAAACCCAATTCCAAAAACAACAATGTGATGGTGAGGTCTGTCGACCCCTGTGCCATCATGCTGCTACGTAATCGTTTGTTGCATTAGAGAAGACCTGAGAAGTCCTGGGAAAGACTGACATCATCCTAATGACAACCGCATGTGTTTGGTCCACCTTCTCCACAAAGGAAAGCAAACCGATTTGGACAACGTCAAACACTCTCGGGTGGAATGGCATTCCCTCTTTTAGAGCAGTTTGGACACTGGTCATTCTTGGATTACTGCCCTCTTACATTTGTACCTTACTCACACAGAAAAGCATGGCTTCTTATGCCCTGAGATCCAACGATCAGCTGTTGCTCACTGTTCCTTTGGCCCACACAGAACTAGGGAAGAAAGCCTTTAGCTACGCAGCTTGTGCGTGGAATTTCTTTTACAAATAAACTGGAAATTGACTGAGTTTTTATCTTTAAATGCTTTTAAGTTGAAAGTGAAAGAATTTGAAGCAGCCTCAATGATCTGTAATTGTTTTAATTGTTTTTTTTTTTTTTATGTACCTGTCATTTATTTTAATGTATCTATGTTTCTTAGGTAACTTTGCTGCCTCTTGGCCAGGACTCCCTTGAAAAAGAGGTTTTTAATCTCAATGGGTTTTTTTTTTCCTGGTTAAAAAAAAAAAAAAACAGACAAATCTGAAGGCTGCACCAAAATAAACAAAAACCTTTTTCTTCAGCGCTGAAAGTAAAGAAAACCTGCAACATTTATTCGTTCAGAATAGGGGTAACATGCAGATAAATGATGGAACTATATTTTGTCTAAATTAGCAGGACAGGCAGGTCTTCATGCTCTCACCTGGAACATCATCGTCTTCCTCTTCTACTGTTGCAATCGGCGCTTTTCCATCTGCAGCTGCAAAGAAAACAAAAAATAATGTATAAAAAAAAACCCAAAACAAAAAAGATCCAAGGTAGCTCATTGGCACAAGACTGAGGAGAAAACCTGTGTACGGTTACACACCCTGTTTGGGGAGGGCCTCGGCGAGTCTCCTCAGGCTCGTCAGGCTGTCGGCTCCCAGCTGGTTGAGGATGCCGGGCAGCATCTCTGTCAGCTGCTTGGTCTCAGCGTGGCCGGTGATGGTGAAGGTGTTGGCGGCCAGAGAGGCCTGCACTTTGGGGTTGTTGAAGTGGATGACTGTTCCTTGGTTTGTGAACATGTTCACCTGGAATGACACTTGGAAATTTTAGACGACAAGTGTGCGGGAGATAACAGATTCATCTGGAGTTACGGCGCAGCCGTGCCAACCTCTTCGATGCCGGAGATGTTGTTGACCCCGAGCTTCTTTAAGGAAAACTGGAGCTTCTTGTCGTCGGCGGTCGCCGTTCTGTGCACGACCTTCTTCTTTCTGCGAGCGCTTCCCTTTGGAGACAGACATGCAAACCTGAACACCTTGCAATAAAAGAAACCAGTTGCAACGGACTTCGAATTAAACCTTTGCATGTGTTAGCGTTACCTTTCCGCCGATGCGGACTTGCGCTTGTAGTTTAGCGAGTTTTTCTTGATTCATAATTGCTTCTTTCATCTGCCAAAAAAAATAAAATAAAATAGATACAACATTATATGATGTTAGTACATGACCAAAGATTTAAAAACGTAGGAGCACAAGCCCACATGATGCTAGACCACAACCACACCATGCACCTATGAAGGCCTGACTGTTTAGTTCCAAATTAAACACAACTTTCCCTGGGTTAGAATAGAAAGATTGATGCTTAAAGGGTTTAATCTCTAACAAACTTTAATGAACCTCCCACTTGTTGCAACAAGAACTATGAATCAAAATGTAGCAAAGAGGAAAGGTTGCAGCCAGAAACACCATAGGCCATGGAGGCAGCTTTGAAACTCTGTTCCAAACTCCTTCCTAAAATCTGTACGTCTCTAATCCTTTATCAGATTTTGCTTTCATCTACTCATTTAACCTTAAAGAACCTTAAAAGAAAAAGCAAGAGTTTTAGGGTTCAGAGTCATAACTTAACGTTTGCAAATGTGCCATTCTGTTATAGCACAAGCTCAGGGACGAACAGACAAAGTAATAGGTATGATAATCCCGTTTACTTATTTCTCACCAAGAATATTAAGAGCTCTTTTAGCACAAATCAAATCCCGCTTTCACACTTTTGGCCTGTTGTCTTGGAACAAAGTTTCAGAATTGGTTTGCTCCATGCTCTTCATTGATAAACCTAACAGCTGAGTGATCTAAGAACATACTTAATAAATGCTGCAACTCACAAAAACAACAGGAAGTTAAGCTCTAGCAGTCACTACTCCACTAAAAGCAATTAATACTTATGTTTTAGCCCTTTTATTGATTTTAGCAAAAACACAGAACTAAGCATTGAGATTAGAGGTACGACTAATCGTTATTTTGCAAATTGATTTATTTGTTGATACTTTTTTTAAATTTACTGAATAATAAATTGGTAGCAGAAAGCTCCTTGAAGATTTTTATACACAACTTAAACAAGAGAAAGATATAACTTAACTTCATGGGCTGCTGATAGAGCATATTCACAGACAAAAAAAAAAAAGAGTTTTTCAATCTCAAATGCAAAATGTTAATATATACATTTTTACAGCCTTGTCATAATTACTTCTCTTAAGAGCTGTTATCCTTTCTCAATATCCAGCTTAAATGAGCTTATTATTCTAAAAGTAGCAGTGCAAAAAAGATTGTTTAATATTTTGTGTAAAAATCTGTTTTACTTCAAAGCTGCGGAGAAGTTAGATCATACTAGATGCTTTGATTTACATTGTCATCTAGAGAAAAGCACATTTAACTTAGAAGAAATACCAGTTTTAAATGAAATGGGGTATTAATTTTCATCAATCCTCAAGCCGATTACCACAACAGGACAATGTGATGGTTTTCTTTATTACAATAATTATAAAATGAAGGATTAACCTAGTTGTTCCTCAATACAACCTTCCTCCACCAGTGTCCAAAGTGCTGTAATTGGGCTTTGTGATCCCAATAAGATCCATTTCTGGTGTGGACATGGAGGGTAGAGTCCAACCAACAACCTAAATGAGATATCAGATCCAAGCAGTCTTTAAAAGCTGCAGGAATAAATACACATATTACTGCAGGGGTATTTCTTTAAAAAGAATTATCACATTCCATCAGAATGAAAAATTTAATTTGATTTTGCTGGTAGTCAATGAAAGACTTGAGCTTATTGGTCAGATCAAAAGCTCAACAGATTTGATAGCTTCATTAATTCTTTTTACAATGTGAGGATAAGTCTATATCTGTTAAAATATTGCAGCTTCCCTATACTTACAGTACATTTCCCTACACTTAGACACCTGGAAAAGCAACCATGCTGCTGACATTGCTGCTCTGCTTTAGCTTGAAAGCCTATAATCCTGTCCTGCATCACACTATGTTGGTCACATGTCCAAACAAAAACCACATGACCGCCCCCTACACACACACACTCTCTCTAAGACAGATACACAAATGGAAACAGCATGGAAATAAACAATTGAGGGCACTTTTTTTTAAACATATGGCAACATGAACAAAACTTTCTTAAAAGAACTAATACCAGATATAAAGCAAAGTGTTTTCCTTTAGGTCAATACAACTAGTGAGGGCTCCAATTTGATTTTTTTCTCCCCAAAGGAAACAAGATTGCATCTTAAACATCCACACAAAACTAAAATCCAAGTTAAAGCTGCAAAAATGAGCATTTTATAGTGAATTTCAGAAACCCACTAAATTATGTAGCAACAGAAAATAAATAATGCTGCAATAAAATTACTACAGGAGACATAGGTAAAGGTGCAAAAAGAATGTCCTATTTTCTTGTTTAGATGATGCTGTAAACAAAGTGATGCCAAAACCGAGGTAGGATCAAAAGTTTTTAATCTTTCATAATCTATCAAGCCATAGGTTGAGCACTATATATGCTAAAGTTCACAGGGTTAAATTTTAGATTGACTGCCTCCGATGATTTCAATAAAAAAGCTGGACCTGACCACTGAAAATAACAATTATTTGTAAACCATTTCATTTGACTTCTAGCCAACCGAATAAAACTTGATAAAAATAAACACATGGAAACTAAAGTTGCATCTAGTTTGTTTATGCCAGTTCAAATAAACATAGATCCCCTTCTTAGGCTATTTTAGGTCTGACCCACCAAATCTAAAATCGATAGTGTTTAATAATGATAATAACTAGCACCGATGCAATTTTTGGCCCCAATATCTGGCTGTGCATTATTGGCCGATACCATCTATTTGGAATCAATGTGTGTGTGTGTGTGTGTGTGTGTGTGTGTATACATGAAGAACTGCATACTACTTGGATGTAAAATAATTGCCATCATGGCTTTTTCAAGCTGCTGCCTACCTTTGTGAAGCAGGAAAAAGACTAATGCTACGTTCAGACCGCAAGCAGCAAAGGCAGCAGGAGCAGCTAGTTTACATGCAAAGTCAACGGTTGATGTGCATCAAGGTGCAGCAAAAGGTCCCGCAGCGCGTTTTACGAAGCAAGTGCAGCGCCTCTGAGCAGCTGAAGCAGCACGTCATGAGCATTTGAGCATCTAACGCGAGCAACACGCTGCAAAGCAGCAGCTGCTGAATTTGGAAAAATTTAACTTTCGCTGTCCAGCGCTCCACATCGCCCAATCAGAGAAGCTGATCTGGGAGCTGGCAGGGCAACAGATATCACTGATGATACAGAGTGCTATGATCATTCCTGTGAAACAGTTTAACACCTAAATTAACTTAAAAATGCTGAAATCTGCCGGGAAAACATGTTCACTTTTATTATCCTGGTGTCTGCAGTTTGGATTACATACACACAAACCGGCGTCCAGCGGCCGCGACAAACCAAGAAGAGACGACCGGGCAAGATGGTGCTGTTGAATGGGATTCCTAGTGACAGCGCACTGCACCGCCGCTATGTGGGGGTCTGAGCAACTCTGACAGCAAAATAATAGTAGAATGCAGGATCATAATCTTGATGAACTGACTGCACAGATGAAGTTTTCTTGTGGAATAAAAAACACTTTAAAAC